GAAGAGAAGATTTGTTTACAAAAAAATACGTGCTCTTCACAATGAATTCACATACATCATGCTGAGCAACACATTCAAATTAACTTCTTTTTTTTTTAAGGTACAATCAGTACAGCAAATATGACAGGTTCAAGTTTAATGCACCCTAAATGACGAAGTATTTCCCTGATAACATTTACAACCTCAAAAGTTGCAGATCTCTTGTTGTCCTGCTGCCTTTGAGATGGCAGAACATGAAAACCTTGCTGAAAAACAGAGATCCCATGTTTCTTCCACAGCACAAAGCTGTGCAGCATGCAGAATTTAATTTCATGTCATTCAAAGTATGATACACATTGGGGTGGTGATCTGAGAGGGAAAGGGAAAGATGTTTAAGCAGGCACATTGAATAACTAATGTAGCTGCACTTATTTCTAATATGTGTTGAAGATAAAGAAAATTCCCCCTTGCATTTTATTACACATTATGAATTTCTGTAAAGGAAACTAACCATCATCACCTCTGTCAGAACTACAATACATTAAGACTATAGAAAGGTAGTAGACATGAAGAGAAAAAAAACATTTACCAGCAAGTTAACATCATTTTTACTCTACAAAGAATCAAAACTAAAAATAAAGCAACAATAATATGGCAAATTCACTGTTTGTTAATACTAACTACAGAGTATCAAGCACTGTAAAGTCTTGAGGATACTGGGTTTGGTTTTGGGTCAGCAGAGATAAGAATCATCACCATAACAAGTCAGTCATGCTGCCAGGTGAATAAGTTCTAATAGCATATTACAGTTCCAATGGCTTTTTTTTTTCTTTTAAGGAAAATCCTTGCAAAAGGTAATCATACCAAGTACTGACTTGTTTCTGTCACTGCCTTGTACTCTGAGATGATTACTGTCAAATAAGCAGACTTAATTTTTGCTTCTCATGGACAATGGTTCATTATATTAATACTTTCAAAGCCAGCACATAAATTTTCCACTACCACATTTTGAAAAATAATGGTTAAGCTGAACAGGTATAATGTCTACAACATCGGGAAAAAAAATTAGTTTGGCAGCAAGTAGTATCTTCTCTACCATATCATGTCATGTATGGTTGGCTTTTGTAAGCATACTCCTATCACAGTGAGCATACAACGTTCAAGTTTATTTTAGCACAGTAGTTATGACAGTTTATTCTTTGACCCTTTCAAATGCCCAGTTAGCATTACTTAGTAAGTTTTCTAAAATTTCACTCAGTTGCCCTGTCCCATGTTCTCTGCTGTATGGAAACTTCTTCATGCACCTCAAAGTAACAACCCATCTGTATACAAGACAATGGAAACAGAGACTGTTTTATGAACCTCACAGCCTACATCCACAAATAAATCAGTAAAATTATTAGGCAGAGCAGGCAGTTCATCAACCCTATTCTGCAGAAAACATATACATTTCTTTAGCCTTTGTTACACAGCAAAGAAAATCAACCAGAGGTTCAGCATAACTATTTAGGCACCCATACGAAAGGGGGATGTTATTCATATAGTCACAAGGCACTGAAGTCAGCACTTTCAGAAACTTCACAGATTTGGAGGCCTGATGACTTCATTTGATTTTTAGGTCACTGACTTAATTTACTTTGAGTTATACTTCTATTAAAAATCTATTCTGAAAACAGAAAACAAAGTGTTTTTCTCCATCACAAAAACACAACTACACATTTCAATGTATGCTTATGACTTCTTTCGAATACTGAAAAAAGATAAATTAACGACTGAACACCAAAGAAGTCCACACCATATTGTGAATGTACTCCATACACTTTGGCCTTCATTTCTGCAACAATCTTTTCCAACAGCATTTGTTAGAGAATAAGATGGACAAGTTGTTCAGTCCAATGCTTTGGCCAAACCAGGTAGCACTAATGAATGTCAAACCTTCCTAAAATCAGTGAAACAAACTAATTAGAGTTATACCTGTATATGGAAACGTAGTACAGAGCTGCTGTAACGTGGTATAAAACACTTCAGGATTTTCAGTGTTTTATTATGGAAAGAAAAAAAAAAACACCTAAATCTTTAGACAACACTCAAAGAAGCACCCTACTTAAATTTGATACCAAAGCACTTGTTAACTACAACTTCCATTAATTCTTGAGGAAAATAACCTAAAAATTACAGGAATAGAGTACACAAAAGTTGTTGCTCCCAAAAAGGATATTGCATAGAAACATTACTTTAAAAAGTTTCCTCTGGCCACTGTTGTCATGTTGATATTCCTAATATTTGTTGCTTTTCCTAATATTTGTCATATATCCATTATGGACACTTGTTACACATCATTAATAGTGCAGTGGCCCATAATTAATACGGCACTTATTCTTAAGAATCTGGCCATCATCCAGAAGTGTGCACAGAGCCTTATTAAAACCTTCAGACAAAGCATGTCTAGGAGTGACTATAAGCACAGAACAGCGTTATGGAATCAGCTGCAGCATGAATTGTACACAACTAAGGTTCTTATGTCAGCCAAACTTACGTAATTCACTGTGAACCTAGTAAACCCTACACTGCGGTGAGCTCTGCCACGCCACTAGACAGAAGATGAGCACTTCTTGATAAATTTTAATGCTGTTGCAAGGAAATCCCATTAAATTCTCAAGCAACGACCAAGCTTTGGCATACAATCCTAACAACTGTTATCATAGCAATTAGAAGATACTTCTTTTTTCCACATCTTCCCAAACTATCTGGATGCTCTCACTCCTCCAGGAAGCCCATTTAACTCCATCATCTAGCTCTTTCACCTCAAATTGCCTGCTAGTGGAAAGGCAGAGGATCCAGGTACTTGTACAAGCAGTATCAGTGAATAACATGAACCCAAACCAACTGAAAAGCAGTAACCTCACCAACACACAGAAACACTGAGTACAAGCAAGAAAGTTTCCCCCGTGTAAGAACCATTCTGTGTAGGAAACACAGGGATAGAAAGCTATCTAAATAAGCCTGAGAAATCTTTTTTGGGGCAGTAAAAAGCCTGGTTCACCATTCCTAAAGCACTTCCATAAACCAAACTGAAGTACCTTCATAATTTACATATGCTTAGGTGAAAAATGCAGTCTTTATACCACTTGATCTACAACATCCATCAGTAGTATTGGGGAGTTTTTACTCTGCATAAATTATATCCATAAGCCTTAAGGGACAAGCAAGTCTTGGAGCAGGATGATTCGTCTCTGTCCAGCAGAGGGCAGCTTTGCAACTGCATTTCAATGGAGTACTGGAAGTCTGGGTTTTTGTTTTTCAGTATTCCTTTTAGAAGAAAGAAAACTTCCATGAACTTATCTAACCTGACCATTTTGTTATTTTCTACTATATAAACCCCAAAACTTTCAAGAAAATACCTTGTTTTCTGAGATACTGGAGTCTCAAGGAAATGATGCAATCCAGCCCCAAGGGGAAAGGAATGTATAAAAGCATATTAAATTCTTCCATCAGAAGCCCCACACTTCTCCCCACATGCTAAATTAACTATCACACCCATCTGACCTCTGTGCAAATGTTGCATGTATTCTTCAGTTAACTCTGATCCCCAAATTAAAACCAGAATGCCAGAGAGCAATTTTATGCTGTGGTAACATTTTACACGTCTGTATGCACTTAAGGTGATGTTTCATAGTTCTGCTTTTCACATGTTGAGTCTTAACATGAACAACAGTTTCCACCTGAACCTTCATCCTTAACCAACCACTGAAAGAATAAAAACAAAGTAAAGCAAAAGTTTTCTGTTGCAGAACACAGATCTCCAAATGTTATCAACTGTGACGTCAGTACTACCAGTAAGCAACTGCGGACTGCTTTCAGGGAAGGACACTGTTTATGTGTGTCCTTTATATACAAGAAATGGAATAACCAAAATCAATGAACTTGTAGAAGCCAAATTCTGAGCAAAGAAGGCATCTCAAAAGAAAAGTCGGCAAGCTTACCAATACTTCTCTGCATGTAAGGGGTATTAATCATCTGTTGAACTCAACAATTTCTTGAAAACTAAGTCAGATATATGGCACCAAAAAAAGTTAAAACACTGCTTCTTTCAGGGATGCAGTTTATCCCCTCATCTCTCAGATAACGTTTAAAAGACATCATATTTGGTTCCCCAACTGTTCCTTATTTTCCATACTGCAACAGGGAACAACAACAACAACAAAAAGAGAAACAAGAAACATGCTTGCAAAAAGCACGTATCTGTCAGGTACATTTACTACTATATCTAGAAATAAGCTACTTGTTTTTTGGGTTGGGGAGGGATGTCTGGTTTTGTCGGTGGGTTTTTTGTCTCACACAATGCATGCTCGACCTATACAGAGTAGAAGAGATTCCAACCTTAAACATATTATTAGAAAATTGCACAGATTTTCTGCATATTTTGTTCTATTCATTAATATAATATGAACCTACAGTATCTTCTTAACTGGAACAACGGGATATGTGATACTTACTGATGGCACACCCTGGTATGTTTATGAATCAAAGAATGTTCGTGCCTTTCAAATGATAATAAAGAGTAAGTTACAGAGCTCATGCCTTCATCTGCTATGAATAACACATGCATACTAGAAAGGCAGGCTTTATCAAGGTATTTCGTTGTTTTTAAGCAGGGATAGGAATCTTATTAAAGCTACTTTTCATCGAACCTATTATAAAGAAACTGCTACTTGACAGCTTATAAGGAGCAACACCTGTCAGCCCTAGTGGACTGCATGCATATAAATCAAAATGTTAAAACTGCCCCCCCCCCCCCCCCCCCCCAATGCAGTTTGTAGCTTCCTCTATTTTTTTCCATTATGCTCCTCTTTCCTATAATGCTGAGATGTTCTCCCAGGAGATTGCTTCAGTGTGCTAAGGCACACTGCAAGCATGTGTACCATGTAAAGCTACAGCACACTGCATCCTGCTGAGCAGCCAAAAACTGGCCACAAAAGGCATACTTGTCCTACCGTATCAAACCGAAACCTTCCTCTTACCTCGACTTCCTTGCTCTTCTCTTTGTTTCTGCCCATTGAACTTCTCCCATTGCTGGCAGTCTCCCGCGCTGGAACTACAGAAATCTGTTGGAGGGGCATTTCTACAGTGCTGCAGGTTGCCAATACCTGATTGGATGCCTTATATCTTCACTCCCCCTGAGAAGCCCACCTGTATAATTGTTCATATCCTTGCTTTGCCAAGCTCAGCTCTAAATAAAAAGGGGAAAATATTATTTGAGAAACTGTGCAGCATACACCAGGGTCTTCCATCAAAAAAAAAAAAAGTAAAGCAAAGCAAACTGAAAACACAAATGAGAAACAGCGAGCAAAGAAGTAAGGCATCATAATCCAGAGTTTCACATTCTCAGAGTGATGAGTTGCTGCAAGTCGTAACTCCTCTGCTGTGTCCCTGGAGCACCCCTTTCCCCCCTAGCCCTCGAGAGCATTGTGGGAGACAATTCAATTTCTGTGTTACCTAATAACTGTCATGGAAACCAAGGAAACCTGGGTCTCGCAGGCCCTTATTAGCGATCGCTTCCCTTTAATGGCACAGACTCCCACATTTGCAGCGGCTGCCACTTCTGCTTTTGTTTCCCATCCGATTCCAAGGGAGTCCACTAAGCACCCAGAGACACCGCATCATGCTGACTAGGTAAAGCAGCATAAGGCTGAAAAGCTTAGTGTCCTATTTTGGAGCCCAAATCTCCTCCTTTAAAAGCACGGATAGCTTGCTGTGTCCTTCATGCGTCTACAATAATCTGCTTAGGTCAAAGGATCTGCCTGGAAGTGAAGAGCAGCGGTGAGCGAATGAGGTGTAAAAATGAAGACAAGACTGGGAGCGATTGCAAATGTGCCTTCCCGAGGCTGACAGTAAGAAGTTAACCCTTTGCTGTGCTCTCCTTCTCCTAAGACATCCCCAGTAGCAGCTCAGCAGGGGACGTCAAAGGCAGGCACACGTGTCTTTACAGTAGTCACACACCCTGCACAAGTTAGTTACGTGAGCTTTCCCTACCCAGCAGCTTCTGGTCTCTCACTTGTAAAAAGGAAAGTGCACAGAAAATCTCTCACCCCCTCCCCTGCTCCCAAATGCAAGACAATAGGAGAATATCCAAGGTGCTGCATTACCAAAATAGGTATGAAGAAAAAAAACTTTTATGCCATTACACCTCTTAAAAATATTTACTAGTCTTGATAAATATTAAGAATGCATGCAAAACAGATTTTGATTTAGAATAAGAAATATTTAGATCGGAAATCAAATAGTTAACACTGTATAAATAATACAGGAATGAAAACAGGGGGAAAAACAAACAAACAAACAAACAAAAACAGAGCAAACATCAACAATGTCCTAATATGTTGTCAATTTAAAAAGAATTTTAAAAAGTATTACCCTGGCCTTGGAATAAACCATCTTTATTTCTATTGCACTGTATGCATTATACAGTTGTATTTTGAGTTCTATCAAGAAATGATTGCATTGCCTATAGCCTGGATTTTTCTACAAAACAACATGGGGAGGATTTATCACACTGTTGATTCACCAGCCCACTATTTTAGTTACTATTTCTCAGTTCAAGTCAACAGAGCTTACAAAAGACAAAGCTGAGAGAAGTTGGGAGCTGATTTACTCTGCCATCCCAGTTCTACATCAGCAGTTTAAGTTAAGGTATGTTAACGCACTCTAGCACAGGGGTTTATCAAAGGCATTAACAAAGCACCGTAACCTGTAGGAGAGTTTACAGAGGCTGCAAGATGTGTGCATGTACTTCTGCACATCACACATACACCTGTACTAGTGAAATCGACTTACAAAGAACAAAATGAAGTCTATTGCCATTTACACTGTTCCTTTACAGATTTTTAGTTATATTTTACATGTTTGTTCCATCCTTACTCTCTGATATTCCCAAGTTAGTTTGAATGTATGTTTACACAGCTTTTAATGTACACAGGAAGATCTTTCTGAATTTTAAATATAAATGCAGGAAAAAAGGCAAGCTCCTGCTTATGAAAACAGGTGCAATATAATGACATATTTTGACAGTATTCAAAGACAAGAAATGTCATATACCAGACTGGTAAAGTTTAACTGTTAACCTTACAATATACTATAATGTAAAGGAAATTCCTTGTTAGCTTAACAGAAAGTTTTAAAGCTACAGATAAACTCTTTTCTTTCCTATGGGGAAAGAATCCCTAAATCTGGCCCTGCTTTACCATGCTAATCACCTACCTCTTTGATAAAAGCATTGGTAAATAACTAGTTGTTTTGAGTATTAAAATGACCTTTCTGGTAGTGTCTTTTCCATGTCCTTTTTTTTTTTTTTTTTTAAGTCAACCTCCCTTTTGATACTGTGGCAATAATTCTGTCAGAGATTTCTAGGTTAACCATTAATCTCTTTAATCCCATGTATGTCTTTCTGAATTAGCCAAAATAAAAACCTTATAGGGTGTGATGTGCTTAGTTCTTTTTAAAATGACTGAATCTTGTGGCCCCTTCCCCCGCCGTGAACTTATCAATCCCATTAACAACTACAAAACAAAAAATCTGATCGAGAGCAAGGGATAAACATTACCATTAAGCAAGTCCATGTTTGCATTCTGCTTAACCGATTTACTAGTTACATTTCTTTCCCATGCCAAGATTTCAGATTAGCATGACATTGCCCACACTGTACATACGCTGAATAATTTACTTCCCACCCAGAAGACTCCCAGCCAGAGTGCTAAACCAAGCCCAAAACAACCAAGCTGCCAAACACTGTGTGTAGAAACGTGGAGAGCACCGCTGCTTCAAAATTAAGCAGGCTGTTGGAGGCTACAGGACATACCCAAAAGCACAACCATAGAAGTCAGTGGCAGAGGTGGGGCTGGGATCATTTTTCTGTCCCCCACTCCTGTGTTCCCTCTCTTTTTTCAGTTACGATATATAGAATTAGAAAATGTAAAGCTTTTGCATCTAATGTTAATATACCTATCATCTCCTAACAGCAGTGCTGTATCAGAATGCATCAAGGAGAAAAAACAAACCAATTAATTTCAACTCACACTGTATTTTTAGAGTCCCAAAGTGCTTCCTAACAGTTAGAGGATGACTTGCAGCCTTCTGTGTTCCCCTCAGTCACTTCCTACCCCATCTCAGAGCATGGCCACCTAGAGCCGAGCACAGCCCTGCTACAAAAGAGCGAGCAAAGGATAAAAAGGTGCAAGCCTGAAGGCAGATGGAAAATGTAAACCGTGTGTCAGATCCCGGGTCTTGCCTCCCTTGCTCTACAGGACTGTACTGCACCTGAATTCTACTCCCTCAGATCCTTTAAAGTTATGAATTACCTATAAAGTAAGATCTTATGAAGTAATTTTATATCCATGCATTCTATAGATAGATTTTATATCTATAGATTTTAGTGGGATTTTTTGTTTGTTTGTTTGTTTTTTAATCCTATGAAGTGATTTTATCTCTGTATCTTCTATAAAGTGACATACATATTATATTGAAATGTTATATATATATATATGTTATATAGAGAGAAGTACATATTATGTCCACTTGGAAATCATGTTAACCTGCTCCCATTCCCCCCAGGGGTCAGTGTGGGTGCTCTGTCCAAGCAGTATTACTTTCAGCAGACACTCAGCCCAGCAGGCCAGAGCTGCAGTGCTGTGCCTCACCCGAGGCACCACATAATGGTGGCCTGGGCAAGGCCTGCTCCTGCAGCACCAAGCTGGTGCTTCAGCCTTGAAGGGTGCCAGTAACAGAGTGATCTGGTGATCTCAGTAACTGGTGATCTGGAGCAGGTAAAGGTGATGTGTCAGAGAAGACAGCTAGGTTTTGGGCGAGCTGTTAGTAACTGATCTAAATTACACAAAAAGCAATCCACGCTCAAGAGCTCCCAAAGTAAGTAACCTCCCCAGAGAAGTACCCCCCTTCTCACCTACAGTTTAAAACACTACTAATCGCAATTCGGAGTAGACCACACACAGCTTTCAGTCACCCATATTCATTCACACAAGCCCACTGCAGTGAAGTGAATCTGACCAGCTATAGTTTATGGTACAGCCCCCTGCATAAAATCACTATCAGCAACAGGTAATTCATTTTTACTCAGCATAAAATCATCTTTAGATGTACTGTAGCCATCAATCCTCTATATGGTCTTTAAGCCAAAAGCTATGATGAATTTTGAAAAAATAAGTATTTGTAGACATTAAGTGCTTAGATGTTGGTAGGGTTGACTCTGCATTTGTCAAAAAGAAACATCGGCTATGATGTACAATATAAGAAAAGGTACAAACTTACAGCCTATTGATCTGGCATCTAGGAATGTGTTTCACTGTCTTCAGAAATAGTGCAGAAAAGTTATACACCTTGCATATACTGCACTCCCTCTGCTCCTCATACACGCTATTGAACTGGTGAGATCATACACCCTCATAAATATTTCCACACCTATTACCATGTTTCCTATACACTCCAAGCATCTCAGCTGACCTAATCTATCCCTCCAGTGTCCTCAAGGGTAACTTTAATATACATTGGCTTCGCAGCTATACTACCATCACTTTATTACTGAGAAACTTAAAAAGAATAAGTGTAACTCAACCACCTCACCTGATCTCAACTTTATTTAAGAAGACAACAAAATAGAGTGGTTTTATCAAAAGAGGCTGGACTAGATGATGTTCCATTACTGTACTTCGATGCACAGTGCTCCTAGATGTACTGCTGTATGAAGTACAAAGCCATCTGTAAACCAAAATTTCTGAAAAGGAACCACTCCATTTCCCTCCGATATTAACAAGTGCATCAAAGCAACTGAGTATCTCACCTCTGACCTGCAGAGATGACAAAATTACAAAAGGGTCAAGCACATAACTACAGACAATTAATAATAAAAAAGGGTATCATGAGGAGGCACATTTAGGAAGAATTTATAGATACGTCCTAAAGAAAAGAATCCTGCCTGCAGTTTTAAATGAAATTTGATGTCAGCCTATCAAAAGTATATCAGCACACAGCTATAAATTAAGGTTACATACCAAGTATGTATTCATGCACCTGTATTTATTAACACACACATACACAAATATATATAAATATCCCCAATAACACCCTTTAAACACAATTTGTTCTTTTCTTCAGAAATTTCATAGTAAAGTAATCTCCACATATACAATCAGTATAAAATTTACAATGTTATACTAGGAA